TCTTTTACATGCCATATATCTACTACATGGGACCGCCGGCTTTACTTCCCCTCTGAAGGAAGTTGTGCTACGGTTTCTTATCACCTTTAGAAATCCATCGACTTTGGCCAGGATTGAACCCGCGAACCTTGGGTCCAGTGGCGAGCACGCTAACCACTAGTCCACCGAGGGCGACATTGCATTGCTTATGTGGATAAAAATGGTGTCATTATTGTATCAGCCTGACTATATGGTAACTCTTAATGTCCTCTGCTGGGTGCTTCCTTGGCTGTTTCAAGCTACTACACAGGAAAACAGAAGAATATAAAGGAAATGTTATCTTCAAAGTAAAATATATTTCCACCTCAAAATTAAAGCACATGGTCTGTGCACACAGCAGTGTGTAAAGTAAAAAGCACAGTGAAAAACATGTATGTACAGGGATAACAACTGTGAAGATGCAAAATAATGACAATAATACGTGTAGATGACAAACTACCAGCATCATTTCCTGTACCTGGCATATATAGTTATCATCCATTTAAACAGATACAGAACTGAACATGTTAAAAGCAGATCTGGAAAACCAAACTCGCCTTATTTTTGGATCCAACAGTTTAGAAGTTGTGGATAAAGAGAATGATGACACCCTGTCCCATCCACTCAGTTTAAAGGCACAGCTGGTATCCTAGTTGGTCCTGTCATAAAGAATTTAGACTTTCAGTATGGTGACTTGCCAAACTCCACAGTAGTACTACAGGAAATACTACACCACGTTACAGAAATTAAAATACGCATGCATAAGTTTTAAATGCGAGACTAAGGAACTGTTTAGTGAATTAAGTACGTGCTTAAGTCAGCCAACAAAATAATTTCGTAATACAATTGGCGAGTATGACACTTTTGAAATTTCTTAATATGAACATTTAGAAAATACACGATGTTTTCATCCATTTTTCTTGCTTATTGTTTCTTAAATCTAAAGCCACCTTATAATCAGGCTAATACACACTATACACCTCATATAAAGTACTCTAATGAATTACTCCTTTACATTTCCATACTGAAGCCTCACTGGAACATTCCCAATTTACTGTTTTCTCGGTCACTGGTCGGGCATAAGTGAATAAAATAAAAATCCCTTTCTCACAACTGGTGACGACATTATTCCCGTAGGCATTTATTGCTAAGCCGATACAGTATTTAGCTTATGGTATCACTAGTTCCTGAGGAAGCACAATGACTGACCTCTATACCAATTTGGCAGCTGAGGTGGGAGTGGTGTATCATCGATGTCATCATACCTTTTATATAGTTCTTGCAGGTAATCTTTTTTATAGATTCCTGGTGGGCTGAAAGTCAGTAACCACAAAATTAACATCTTATAAGAAAACTTCACAACAGAATCATTACCTAACAGAAACAGACGACAAAGGAAAGTACATACAGTTTTAGAGGACGAGAATTACCTAACAGAAACAGACGACAAAGGAAACATACAGTTTTAGAGGACGAGAATCAAGCTTAGAAATTCCTAGGTTTTTAATGATGCACATTCATCTGCAAATGATTTTTTAAGACTGATTGAGATGGGAAGATGATCATGAATAGTATGTAAGAACATGCGTGTGACCCACTTACCAATCTCATTACTTTTTTTAAAAGCTAACATTACCGTCCGAAGGATGAAGCAATTCAAATGTGATTGTAGTCACTTTAAGCTTTACAGATTATCTTAGTATAATGACATTTTTTTTAAAAAAATTATCTTCAGATATTTAAAATAAAACTTGTTTAAATGTTATTAAAATTAAATTATTTTTGGTCCATCCTCTATTATATATAAGAATGAATATTTACAAAAAAATTAAGCGAATCAGACACAGTTCACAAGATATTGTGTTTTTAAACTGAAAAAAATCAAGTTATAATCCTTTAAAGTAAAGTAAAGTTTGTCCCACTCTACGCCATGTAGGCGTTTGGGGTGAGAGGAGGTATAGCTCCTCCCTTCCTTGACCTCGGCACTAGATGGGGGTGAGTGGTCAGCATCACGCCCCGGCCGGCTTTACCCCCCGGGAAAGGACCCCGGTACCCATTTTAGAGGAGGCTGGGTGGGCCACACTAGCATTTAAATGCTCCCAAACATGTGTACACATACTAACACTTTAATATCTAAAAAAACTGTGTAGAATTTTAAACTGAAAATTTTATGACATGCTCGTAAAAATGTGCTCTACCAATTAAACGTGCAAAACATATTCTCTGACTTTTTTACTGCATGAGACACCTTAAATCAATGCAAGCAAATGTTGCAACTTACCGAACTACGGCAAACTGATTGAGAGCAGCGTCCAAACTATAGTCCATTTGTTCTACCAGATAAGAAACTATAAGGAAACCTGTCCTGTTGAAACCATGTGTGCAATGGACACCTGCCAAAGCAAATAAAACTGGCTTTGTTACATTTACATTTTTAGTTTATTCTTTCACCCTTTTTACTTTAAGCATGTTTGCTTTGATGTGTAATTTATATGCTTACAGAATTAAAAATTCAAACCAAATTTATTTGTAATAAGAATTCCAACTTTTTAACTTTTATATTTATAGATTTTACAATAAAATTTAAATTCATTTTCATGACTAACACATATCATGTACAAGAACATCTTTATATATAAACATTCAAACAAGATGAACATTTTTAGAATCTGAGTAAGCTGAGATCTGGAATAAAATAAACTGATTTCACTGAACTGACAGTGTACATTCACTTCATTCATAATTTTCTGGAGAATTTATGTACAAGTGCAAACAGTACTCTATATAAGGAAGATTTGAGGTTCTCACAGCAGTGAGTACATAGATGGCTGTCTTCTGGGTTGTAGCATCTTGGAGACAGTCATCTTATTATACAATAGACATTTCTAGGGACTGCTTTCCGTAACTTTGTTTGCATCTTCCACTTCTTCATTTGGTTTACTTAGTTCCAAATAATAAATGTTTATGGCATATTTGAATTATACAAGCTTTCTTCATGCAGAAAAAAGGTATACAGCATTTCTATACCTAATTCATTACATACCTATTATTTCTAATGGATTTTCATTTATAAATTCTTGACAAATCACAAAGAATGCTTTGGCCACCTCTTTAGATGGAGTTTCACTATGTCCTCGACACTTCATTTTTATATACCTGCAGCCTTCAGCTTCAATTTGTTTCTTATTATAAAATCGTGATGTGTTTGTCAAATCAATCCAAAGACCAAGTTTCATCTGTAAATATCGTAAAAGCAAAAATAAAATTTATACAATTCAGATACTTATCAAATAATCCAGCTGCAACATCTTCCACTCCAAGGGGCATACTGGGGTGCACTATTTTAGATTTTTGACGTAAATACGTCTATAAGGAAGGGTCATTCGGCAAAAAAGGGGAACGAAAAAATGAAACGAAAAAGTGTAACAAGTGTATCTAGGGAACATCTGTTTACTCGTCATTATTGTTACCTAGAAAACGTCATCTGTTTACTCGGCATTGTTGTTACCTATAAAATATTTCATTACATTACCTTACCTTACCTTACATTACATCACCTTACCTTACATTACATTCAGCTACCACAGACCCATCTTAAGCGTAACTAATTCAAGTTAAATAAGCAAAGTCTTAATCAAACTTTACTCAATTGTAAAGCATGTATAAAGGAAATATTTAGAATAAAGCCAATATATAAACTTCCTTTCCGTATAGACATATTTACGTCAAATTCTCCGGAACCATGGTTCCACTGTCAATTTTTTTTCATCTTGACAAGTAAGTTACTAGTTCTAAAATATAAAATATTCACATGTATACTGCCTTCATTTTTGGAAATGTCATGAAAGTACTATTAAATTTTCAGTCAGAATATTTTATTTAGCATGTAATTGTAACCTAAAAGTCTCTCCCTTTTTCTCTTACATATGGGCATATATACACAGTTTAAACTGATGAAGTTATGTTTTTACATTAGGAGTGTCATTAAAAATGTATGTTTCATTCACAGGAAGATGCATCTTTGGAGAAATCAAGTAAAAATGGCATGTGGATTTAACTGTTAGCATGGTTCAAATGGTGATTACGAGCTAATTTGTCTACCGTCCACCACTCAAAACTTTTCAAATTATTAAACCTTCTTGGATATTCAAGTACATCTATGAGTCCAAGAAACCAAATAATAATTTTCCTCAGAACCTTATATCTATAGCATGTTATTAAACCATAAAAATTTAAACTTCCATCTATGCAAAATATTAATGGCAAACCATCTCAGATACAGTTTCAAGACTTAACTTTAAAAACTGGCTTTTTAGACATATTCATAATGGAATAGTTAACCCTAAATATCTTCTTCTAATGGTCAAAGACTTGTTTTATTACTAGTGGTTAAATGAATTCTCAGAACACACATACTAGAATATTGAATACGAACAGGTTATTCATCAGATCCCATTACATGACCAGAAATTTGGTCTATGGTATGAAGTAAACACTACAAAATTGCAGTCCAATATTTTTCTGTGACACAGAGCAGTATGTAAACAATATTTTAAAGCCATTCTTTGAAGAATTAAGATTAAGAATCACACATTTTCAGCAGAACAGTAAACAAGTGCATACTGCAGAAAATTCAATGCAGGCTCTAAAGACTATCTTCAATGAATGAACTGGTTATATTCAGCAGATGACTACTGCTGTCATGTTCCATGTCTCTGAATAAATATGATTTTTATCTGTATGAAATAAACCCCGATATAATCAACACACTTTTGAGGCTTTATAGATCAAGATCCAAAACGTTATAAGATAAAATTCAACATGCCATGAAACTTCAAATGCACAGGATACTATTTTAAACAGTTCTTGTATAGCCTTAACAAAAGAAAGTAGGTCATGAATTAAAACCATATGTATTTGTATGTACATGTTATTTTGTATTATAAGAAACTTAGAAACTTGTCTTATTTTGGGGTTCTATACCCTACTTACATATTCTTGGTTGAGTCTGTCACCCACCTAAAGTAGTGACATATTTCTGGTATTTTATTGTATTGTGACAAAAAGCCATTGCACCAACTTCATACCTCGTAACTCTTCATTGACTGAAAAATCATGCTGGGTGAAAAGCGACAATCCTCTGGAACCTGATCATCATACTGAGAGCTGAGAGGAGTTTTGAATGCAAGAAATTTATTAGCCACCACACCTGCTGCTTTTCTTGGGCAATGTAACCAACGCTGTGGGATCAGTCCTGCACTTCTGTTATCCTGGTGGCCACTCATTGTGTCTGTTAACATTTAAAATGAACCATACAACTATCAGCTGGCACTACTGACTAGCCTGAACTGAAAATGGCATATTTGGTTAGGGCAATTTCACAATTAAAGAAAAAATAATGCAATATTAACGGATAAACACCGTTCTAGTGTTACCCACCGAAATATATTGGCAGTCCAGAGAAAGCTTTAATATTTAAACTCCCATAATAGGAACCTGAAAAATCATATCCACCAACATTAATCACGTACACCTAACAAACGATAATAGATAACGCCACACTTTTGCGATGTTGGTATAATCTGTGCTAAGGCGCATTCTATTGCACTAGTGAAAGCAGCGTGTTTGATTTATTTTCGAGCCATCGAAAACGTAGCACGACCACTACGGTTCCTCGCTATAAACTTCGATTCTACAATCGTACATGTGGAGACAAACCGTACTCCTGTTGTATCTACCAGAGAACATCCATAAATTCGAAATGTAGCAATTATACAATTTTTATAGTAAGCTAAATAAAACTTAGTATCGCAGCTGAAAACTAGGTTCATATCTGCGTTCATACAAGACCTTTACTATCTAGGTTATCAAAGCTTCTTCCCTTCCACAGGAGTATATGTAATTGAAATTATATAAATTACTTTATCTGAAGCATCCCAAAGACTTTGGTTCAATACTGATGAGCCCGGAAGAAGGATCTTATCAAACAACTTTCATATACCAACATACATAAAAGACTACTGTGAAATTCGTCACTCACCTCCATCTAATGTCAGTTAAAAAAATTGACAGTGGAACCACGGTTCCGGAGAATCTGACGTAAATACGTCTATACGGAAAGGCAGTTTATATATTAGCTTCATTCTAAATATTTCCTTTAGACATGCTTTTTTTATTTATTTAGTGTTCTGTCTGACGACAGGTCCATATGAACAGGATCCTTCCATCCTTTTCTCGGACTGGGACCTGTTCATATACGTTCTTGGCAGATGATCCAGAAGGGGTTTGCCATTGCCTTCCCCCAGGATTACAAGGCCAGCGTTCTATCCGCTAGACCACCGTGGCTATAGACATGCTTTACAATTGATTAAAGTTTGAGTAAGACATTAACGAAAGTGGATTGTTGACTGCAGTAATGTTACACAACAATGCCGAGTCAATGGCATCATGCTTACACAAATGTCTTCATGGCATGGTGTTTGGGCAAGCACAGGAACAACGTACTCCCTTGCAACACATTAAACCTTCAGTACTTCATTTGGTTACTTCTGTTACAATTCTAATGTTATGGTATACAAAGGTTTTTATAGAAAATAGGCTTTGTCTACCATACACATTTAGAAATACTTAACTGTAACATTTCCCAACCTTACTGGACTCTGGAAAACTAGTGTAACATTTCTGCATATCTCCCATTTCTCCTAGAATCCATTCATATCCACTCTGCATCAACTTGGATTAATTTTGTACATAATACAATTAATGTTTTATTACTTGACCATTACACATTACACATTATCTTACAACAAACAATGGCACATTAAAATTATTTCCACTGAATATACATCACCAACAACTCAAAACTCATATAAAGTTAGTTTGTACCGAATGTCTCCATGTATGGTCTATAATGACCTCCCTAACCTCTGCTAACCTAGGCAATGAAGTAGAATTCATTTCTATGGATGATTATGTGATTAATGGTTGGCAAAAGGAACCTACAGCTTAACACAGACTATGAAGCGTTATGGGGCTTTCACATTCCCGCGTGATACCTTTGGTTGAGGGATATCTTCAATCTGTGAGCAGGAAAACAGAAATCTGAGGATCAAATACAAAACACTCTGAATGAGAGTCTAGAATCTTACTCATAAATCACCAGGCCCCCCTCTTAAGCCAACACAAAGTAAAGTATGATTAACTTCATCTTCTTTACCACCTTTCAGAACAGTAATAAATGTAATGTTATTAAGCACTCAACAAAGGCTTAGATGTGTTTAGTATGAAGGAATCAAGAGTGAATTTACATGATGTATTCTACAAAAAAGGCATCTTTTCACTTCAAATGAAAATAAATGTCAAAACAAATAACAATGTTAAAAGGCGTTTCAATTTCAGTATACAACAGTAATTTCTTAACATATAATAAAATAAAGAAAACACTTGGAAGTTTAGTTCACTGTAGCTTAGAACTGTAAAGTATTACTAAATCAATGGTACTGATAAAATGGAAGCCCAGAAGTCACTCTCAGTTTGTATCACAAAAGACTTATATAGTGTCACAACATACAAATCATGAAAACACAAAACAGTGAGTGGTGTTTTATACAAAAACAAATGTTAAAAATACCTTTGTCATAAATTTATTTTGACATATCATTATGTACTTCAAAGCAGTAGACTGTTTGGTAAACAAAAGAATGAACACTTTTCAAGTCACTTGATGTGATGATTAGACATACTAGTAAGACTTTGTAATACTCTATCAACATGTGCTCATACAAATTATTCAATATTCTTTCTCTACATTAACCTTCAATGCCATAAATTGATGTTAGCTTATTGGTAAACCTGAACTCCTGAACCCTTACAGGCATTATTAAATGCAAAATGTTTACTGTCCTCTTATCTTCATTCACAAGCTGCTACACTTCAAAGTAATATTTACTGTAGCATTCATGTGTAATAATCGAGAATGCAATGAGGGCATCTTCCAGTCTACTGTCAGTTCTTCATTAGAAATCTAGGTGGATAAAATATCCCCTATTCCTGTGTGTGTGTGTGTGTGGGGGGGGGATATGCAAATCTATCACATATCTTCATACAAATTAAATGACACCAATAAAACAAACTGCTGCATGAATATTTACAAAAACATTCTTCTATAATTTTGGAAATACAATTTTCATATCAGCAATGATATTATGCAGTACATTTTAAAGTACAAACCATGGAAAGTTGAAATGTTTACCATTATGAATCCTACTAATTTTGCACCTGCAAAAATTATTTTTATGGAAAAAAAATATTTCTATGAGTGCAGTCTACATGACTGATCACTGTTTCAATAAATAAATACTGTTCATAAACTACATGGAAAGTCAATTCTAAAAACGCTGAACAAACACAGATTAATGTCATCACAATTCATTATAGAATCAGATGTTCTATGTCCACGTACACAGACTATCAGACAGTAACAACCCAACCTGCAGACTTCCGTATATCAAGGAATACAGAAGTCCTAGTGGTCAAGTGGTAAGCACGTCAGTTTAGTATTCAAAGGGTTCTGGGTTAGACTCCAACCACTGCAACTAATACCACAAATAAAAATGACAAAAATCTGTCAGTATAAAGACACGGGTAGAGCCAACTTCTGAAACATGTATAATAAATATAGAAAAGACAATGGACAATCTTTAATATTATTACTGTGTAATGCAACCATTATCACAGATCAATGGAATCATCACATGTAATGAGGCACTTAAAAGTTACCATACAATATTTCAAAAACCCTTGTACTCACCAGTTTCTTTGTCATCAAGCAGTCTGTGATATCCATTAAGTCTAAAACTAGCTAATCATCACCCTGACAAAGGAGGCAGCAAAGGCCTCTGAAACAATGGTAAACTTCTACCAGACTACATGGCACAACAACCCAGAAGACAGCCATCTTCAAACTCACCGCCGTGAAAACCTCAAAACCTAACCAGCACATTAAGTTTGCATATAAAATTCTTACTTCAAATCATTCAAAACCAAATTCAACACACACACACACACTTCAGCACCCTTAGTTTAGTAACTTCAGTGATTCAACTGCATTTGAAAATATTTCTTATAACTGGGCATAGAAATGAATGTCCACAGTCCCAGAAGGTGTTAAGTACTGTTTACTCTCAACAACGGAAGCTTTCAGCTCAAATCAATACATTTTACAACTATCTGAAAACAGGGTGTATACGCTTTTCCCCCCTGCCAAGATATCTTGGAATTGTATTTTCATTCACAAAAATTAGGCCAACAAATTCTCTCTTTCTCTATGGTGCAGGATATCCTTTGAAAAGTCAATTGTTACTTGGATTATCAAAGAATAGCCCACTTTCTTTATGGAACCCGAAGGTTCATCACCGTGTTCACAAAAGCCCACCACCAGAGACTACTCTGAGCTAGCTGCATCTAGTTGACTCCAACAATTCCTAAGTAGGGCAGTCAAAAAAGTTCCCGGAATTGTGGTATAGCACTGTAATGGTAGGACATATGGCAACACTTACCTAATCACCTTCAAAGTAGGTCCCTTGCGCACACACACACACTTGCTCCATCGATCCTGCCATTGTTGGAAGCACCGGTGGAAGGCTTCGTTTGGAATCTTCCAAGGTTCGGCCGTCGCATTCGACATCTCGCTGATTGTGCAGCAATTCCTCTCTGAGAAAAGCATTCCCGCCATCATCCAACCACCATACTCTCCGGATCTCGCTCCGAGTGACTTCTGGCTGTTCCCTACTCTGAAAATGGGCCTCAAGGGGACACGTTTCACAACCATGGAGGACGTCAAATCGAATGTGACGGCCGAACTCCGGAAGATTCCAAACGAAGCCTTCCACCGGTGCTTCCAACAATGGCAGGATCGATGGAGCAAGTGTGTGTGTGTGCGCAAGGGACCTACTTTGAAGGTGATTAGGTAAGTGTTGCCATATGTCCTACCATTACAGTGCTATACCACAATTCCGGGAACTTTTTGACTGCCCCTCGTACATAAAACTTGTATTAAGTAACAAAAACAATGTGCTTATGTTCTACTTGCATTTCCTAATCAATACATGTTCAATAATGACTGCACAGGTTATAATTTCTACTGGTAAGTTCCATTTAATAACACGTGTCAGAAGTTGGCTGAATACCAAAACACGGAAAACTTGTCAGTAACAACATTCAAGGGAATGAATAGAAAATAGGCTACAAAATAATGATTGCTCCATTAACAAACACTTTTAACCGAACACGTGACAGGTAATTAAAGCTTCTGGTATCTGCATAATTTTCAATAGCTTCTCACTCACTGCTGCATACTCAATCCTAACCTAACCACAAAGAAATCTTTACACGCAGATATACACAAAAGCAGTGTTTGGTGGATCTGCGG